TTTCTGTAAATGTTCCATCTTCAAACAGTCCCTGCTGATAATTTGTTGATCGACTCATTTTTCCTGTGAGACATAATTGAGTTTTGAACCCATGAATAAGGTCAAATTGGTCATTGAAAATATTTATTATTTGCACCCTAAGTACTCCAAGAGTATTGATTGGGTCTTGTATGTATATGCTTTCTTTTCCTATCTCAATTTGGTAATGATTGTCTAATAATTCACATCCTGAACTAATAATATCCGTTTGATGGAATTGTGGAATGGGTTCTAATATTCCTAATGTTTCGAGATATTCTCTTTCAACCTCTGAAGATGAATTAATCTCTGAATGACTGCTTTCACCAATTTCTGAGGAATCAAATAATCCCAATGCATCGAGATATTCTATTTCTGGATCAAGTTGCGGTAGTTGATTAGGAGACGGAACTGATAAGTGGCATAGAGTTTTATTACTAGCATAATGTTGACGAAGTTTTTGTGGTGTTGAAAGAGAGAGACCACAGCAATTACACGTTGTATTTTTTTTATCTTTTCTAGTCATAGTATATAATTGATTTATAATATATTACTTATATAAAATCTTTTGTTTAAATAATTATTTCACTATATCCCAAAAGGTATTACGTGATCCAGTGCTATAGTAGATTACATGGAAGGGGTTCAAAAATAGATTCTAGCTATGAGGATAGACTTTGTCCCAACTTTTTTTTGATATATATTGAGGTTAGACTTTGTCCCAACTTTTTTTCGATATATATGTATGTATAAAGTATAATGGAATAGAATCCAGGATATAAAATAATCGATTCTAGCTATGAAGATAGACTTTGTCTCAACTTTTTTTCGATATATACCCATTATATTAAGATTAGACTTTATATATAAAGTATATTGGAATAGAATCCAGGATATAAAATAATCAATTCTAGATATGTAGTTAGACTTTGTCCCAACTTTTTTTTGATATATTGAGGTTAGATTTTGTCCCAACTTTTTTTTCGATATATATTTTTTTTGATATTCTTCATGATGATAATAATTGATTTAGGCGTTAATAGAGATAGTAAAAATTAGTTATTCTAAAAGAACCGCAAAATAACTAAAAATCTTTTATTAGAGGTTAGATTTATTTATATCGATAAAAATTTTGATGTCTTTTTTTTATATAGCTATTTTATATTGATAACAATTTTGAAAGCTAATATGTTAACTATGCTCCGCTTCGCTCCAAAGCTGTTTCACATTTACCCTTTGGGGTTCATGCTTCACACTAACAGAAGACTAAATAAAGTTTAGAAGAGAATTAGAATAGTAAAGAAAATAATATTAAATTTAGGCTTGCTGATACGGGTCACATTCAGCTTCAGGACATTCGTCCTTTAGCTTTCTGGTTCTTTTTTTATAGCAAACGGAGTAGTAATATGAAGATGTGGCCAAAAAAATAAATCAGACCTCATTCGTGTGTGGCGAGAAAAAATTAAGCAAAATGATATAAAAATCGATATAAGAAAAAAGACTTCCAATGTGGCGAAAAAAGTAAAATGCTATACATATTGTGAATAGGGTTTCTGTCCCAACTCTCTCAGAAATATACTACTAGCACACAATAAATGTTATCAAATTTAACCTCCTAAAAAGAATGCAAAGAAAGTTAACTAGTGTGTCATAACCTATCTCTCTGAGTACCTTAGATTTTAAATCAGTTGGGATTACCAACTTGATACACATTATATCACATATGACTCGACAATAGAAATAAGCTAGGATCGCCAATTTGATATATAATAATTCGAGTGACGAGGCAAACACAAATTACTCGTTATTCGAATATGGCCTAAAAAATAAATCATGAGACATGACTAATAGGGAATGATCTGAGACACTGCTTGAGGTTCATAACCTATCTCGGAGAGCACTTTAGATTTTAAATCAGCTAGGATTACCAATTCGATATACAATATATCGTATGTGAATTAATGACAGAAATTCATCAGATCATCAATCCGATATATAATAGTTCACATGTGGTGTAAAATAAAATGCAACACTTTCGAGTGTGATCTAAAAAATGAATCACGCCACCTTCAAGTGTATCCTAAAAAATAAATCATGCCATATACCCAAGTGGGAATAACCTAGACTAAGTAGGAACAACATAATTATGTTGTTTTCACTGGTCTGATGAAATAATATTTAGTTTGGAACACAACATTACATAGAATATTAAAGGAACGGTATGTAGAATGTTCTTATAGTTGTGAGAGTTATAAATAACTTCTGAGGATTCACACACCACAACATCACATAGAATATTAGAGAAATGGTGATTAGAACATATTTATTGTCAAGGAAGTCTCAAGAAATTTTTCAAAAATCACACTTCATTACAAAGAGGAATAAAATCAAACCTAAAATATTTTTCCCAACTATTTGATCTTTGATATTTTACCTTGGCAAGATTCAAGGTTTTTCTTAAGTAAAATAATTCTTTACTGAAGGAAAAGGTGATTTTGCTTTGTTTTAAAAGATGGGATCGATTATGTAACTCCAAATTCATCAGGCATGCAAGAAGAATTTTTATGCATATAAAATCATAAGGTAAAAAAATGTCTTGCCAATGTGAGCGAATTAATAGATATTTTGGTACTTTATTGCTAACACTTTTTTTTTTTGCAACAGGCCAGGTCACGTGAATTACTCTAGCAGTTAACTTCGAAATTATTATCAAAAAAAGTTCATTTGTCTTCCTCATTTTTTATAGTGTGGTATCATATCTCTCTAATCTCATTATTAACCGGAATGAAGTTTATAATGATTAATGCCTTTTCCAAATTTATAGTAAGATGTGAACAGCAACATATTTTCAAATAATTCTTTTTTAGAGAATCATTTTTTGAAATTTTCTCCGGCCTGTTACACATTAATTTAATGTGGGAGTCAGCCAGATCCTTAATGTGGATTATCGACTAGGTCTTTTTTTTTTTCTAATTCTAATGTCATATGGCTTTCCTCTTTAAGACTTTAAGTTTACTCTTTATTCTGCATTGTGATATAAATTCTAGTATCCGAAAACTTGAAGCGAATAAATTCTTAGCCAAGCCACATATTATTAATTATTCAAAACGGAAATTGCTCTAAAAAAAAAGAATATGAAAATAGACATATTAACCCTAATTTCATTGCTCATTACTCTTGCTTAAAATTGCTTAGATTATATGAACAATTTCTTGGCATTCTTAATTTATGATCAAGTCGATTAAGTCTATTACATGGGAAGAGGTGACTACGTATATACTTTCCTAGACAGATTTTTAAAGTTATAGAAGATATTCACTTCTTTATTTGTAAAAAACAATATTTAAAGTACAGTTACTATAAAGATTATATAGATACTTATTATTATCGGGAAATAATTTTTATCATGTTATTGGGAAGGGTAATACATTTATAGTGGTGATTACTGCATATGTAGTAAGGTTATATTATAAAAATTAATGTTCATAAGCCCTTTTAAATCTTTTAAAATGAATCTGATTTTTATATAATTCGAATGTTTTTCAAAATTTCTAGTTTCAGAATAATAATAAAACCTAATAATCTAAAAAAGCAATCATTAATAAAGCGAACGAGAGTTGTAAAGATGGCTAACCATATGACAGTAGACGGTAATACGCCTATGACTTGTAAAGCTCAAGTGGCCGGATGGAAAATTGAATTACGCACTTAAATTGTTGAATACATGCCTGTACCCGAATATGTTAATATATAATTTATTTTTCCATTTAAGTTTGCTTTTTTAAATTATTAAAGAATATTGAAATACGTCATTTATTCTGTAAGGAAAATAATTGTACAATTTTAATTTCTCAAACTTTGTATTATTGATTGGCGTAGTTTTCTTTACTATATTAAGTTATTTATAAAGCTGTATAAAAAAGGAAATGAACAAAACCAAAGCGTTCTCTGTATAACAAAGGAAAGTCAAAAAAAAAGAAGTTTTATTATAATACAAAAAAAAAGAAAAAAGAAAAAAAAATATTTTAAAAAAACAAAATTAAAACTTAGAATCGTGCACGTATTATAAAGAAATTATTTATAATTTAATGTAATAACGTTCCAGCGTTTCAGTCCAATCTATGAAGTTTTATGGCTTTCGCCACAGAATTATCTTGTCGTGTTGTTTTATTAAGTAAAGTAATGGTTTTTTTTTTTCTAAAATTGTTTTATTAGTTCTATCTATCTAAAGAATTAAAAAAAAAAAATTCTAAACCTGTATAAAATGTCTTTTATTTTTATTTCGTATTATAGATAAACTGAATGATAGTCTCCAATTTTTAAAGGGAGCATCACATTTTCTGGATAACTTGTATTCGTTGAGTCAGAGAAGCCCAAAAAATAAACTGTGTATATGAATAACGTTATGCTTACGAGAATTAGTGAATCTATTGGTTTGAAAAGAAAAATATCTATTAACATTTAACAAAATAATAATAAAAAGAAGAAAAGAAATAAAATGATACATACGAAATAAAGCTTTCTCCCATGGTTCTAGACAAGAAGTACTCATGTCAGTTTGATATGACTTTATAGTAAAATAATTGTGAAAATTTGATAACATGATTATTATTATTTTGATTTTTTTTATCACTTTGATTATTATTACTTTTATTTTGGTCTTTAATTAAAAATAATTTTTTTAAAAAAAAATGTCAAAAATTTCGAAGAAAATAATTGGCAAAGAGATTTTTTTTTTTTGGTTGAAATGAATATGGGTGATTTTATATATTTTGGATAAATAATATATAACATAAATTTATACAATAATATATTTTATATTTTAAAATATAATAATTTTATGTGAAACTTGTAATATAAAAATCCTCACCATAAATTTGTTTGTAAATTTGAATAATAAAATATCGTGGTATTTTTCCTAACCATTTAACATACACGTTTTCAACATTTATATATATTTATATTATTAATACTATTTATACTATTTATATTACTATTGATATTATTTTTAATTATTTATTATTATTTATTTCTCCCTAAATCACTAATTATCATCTACATCACAAATTCTATTACCAACCATAAAATTTATTTTTTATCAGTTAAACATTGTTCTCTCAGTAAAGTATTGAGTCTTAATTAAATAGCTTTTAATTTAATACATTTCATAATGAAATTCATAAATTTTGATTTTAAATTGGTTAAATTGGTTACTATTTAGGATATGTGGAAATCAATGATAATTTATTATTTTTGCTAAATTTGAAAATTGCAAATTAATTAATTTTTACTTCTTGTTATGTTTATTTAATGATTTCTATTTAGAAAACAACGAACCAAACGATTCTTTATCTGTCATATGCAGAACTAATTTATTCATTAAGTACAAAAAACATTAGATAATTCGTCCGAGATAATTATTATGCAATTTTTGTTAGCTTTATTATGCACTGCAACACGTAATTCATAACAAATAAAATATGTCTATGTCATTTCTGCATTCTTATCTATTTATGATACAAAGGATCTTTTTCATTGTGTATTTTTTTTTTTATTTTCATTGAAATTTTGTCAGAAAAAAAAATTATCGCAACTGTAATATGCTTTGTTGATGTAAAGAAAAATATGGAATTGTCAAAGTGTTTTATAGAATCAATTAAATTAATTCGAAGATAGGAGAGAATTTAAATTTAGAACAAAGAAATCCTTTCTTTTAATATAAAAGAGAGATAATATTAATTATATTAATTAATGAGGTTTTGTTAGAAATTCTAATTTTTTAAACCCATAAATTAAATATATTCAGTGATTCATATTTATATTTTTTTCATTTTAAGGATTCCTTCTCGTTTTATAATCGGTCTTTTTAAAGTAAGAATGAGAAGGTTGAACTCTATTACTAAATATTAAGCAACAATTTTATTTGCATATGTCTCATTTTCAACCAAAAAGAAAACAAATGAAATAATTGAATGTTATTCGTTATTTTGATCATGATTTTTTTTTTTTCAAAAAATTCTTTTAGACTACAGATATTAATTTTATATCAGGTAATCATTAGAATCTTGAATAAAATAAGACTAAATTATTTTAGATATTGCACCTAAACAAAATTAAATAAAAATAAATAAATTATCTCAGATTAGAATAACAAAATAAAAAATTAATCTCAAACGTGTATATTATATATTTGGTACTTTATCTGAACACAATCTTTATATCGATTCAGGAAAGAAAGTTCTTAAAGAAGTGATAATTTTTCATTTTCCTTTGAATAAATATTTTCCAAATATTCACATATCCAACAATATGAAATTATATTATATTGCATTTATAAGATTCAATTCGTGTTTTAGTCAATCAACTTTTAAACGTTACTGTTAATGTAATAAAAAACGTAACGTTTATCTGTTATCCAATTTACTTCCTAATTGATCATCCTTTTATCGTGACATGATTAAGTAAACTTGTCGGAAGTAAATTGACCATAACAATAAGCACTGTAACTGTATAAAAAGTATCCACACAATCAAAGCTGCAATAAATTCATGGTAATGACATACAGTTTATTTTTTTTATACAAACGCGAATGTGTAGAGAATATTTTATACTGTAAATATGTATATATATGTACAGTGTTTTCTCGGAACACCTCTTGGACGGGAAATGTAAAATGTACAACACTGTATATGTGCATATAGAGTAAATAAATATAGTGTTATAATATATCTAGGATATTAGTATTTGTACCTCCCTATTTTTTTTTAAAAAAAAAATGGATAAATAATTTTTTTATTTTTAAAGTTTTTTTTTTTTTGAAACTTTTCACGATTTATACAAGATTCAGAATAGTTGTATAAAACGTGTACATGACGAACAAAATCTCATTGTTTAATGATCTAATAATTGATTTGGTAATAACTTTAAATCATTATAAGATGTACACCAACGAAATTGAAAATACAAGAGAGTATCAAAAGGTTTAAGCCCTTTTTAGATTAATTTTCACATTGAAAAGATTTCTTTCTTTGTAGTAAGTGTTTAGAATTAATTTTTTAAAAAAAAGTAATAACGATGCACAGCTTTAAGAAATAAAAAATTCTGATGACAATTTAAAAATATGTATTATTTGTATTTATTTATTGATATAAATTAATAACAAATCAATGCAATATAAAGAATGTAAATTAATTCTGTCTTAATAATCTAAATTCATCAAATTCATCAAATTCATCACGAAATTTATGATATATAAAATTAAAAATTTGTCGAGTTGGAAGAATTATATTGAGAACATAAATTCTTGACTGCAGCGGGAACCTTTTGTAAACGTAATATTGATGGAAGTTCAACAAGTTGAGCTAACATGCCCATTTCTAAATGCCATTCAATATGACAATGGAATCCCCAAACTCCAGGATTGTCAGCGACAAATCGTATAACTACCCATCTATTAAAATTTTTGAAATTTATTAACCAAATGAAGAAATTGAATTTAAAAAATTGAAGAGTCATTAAAGAAATTTACCCAAATTTAGGAACAGTAACAGTGTCTCTTATTGGTGGTGTTTCAAAATCGTATAAATTAGGATCAACGGTACTTCCTTGACCCGTACCAATTAGATAAAAGTTGTGTCCATGCTAAAGAAAGTAAAAAAAAAAGGAAGTATAAATAAATATAAATAAAGTTATTATATATCTAAGATAAAGTTTTAAACTTCGCATTTTAAAATTTTACATACCAAATGGAAAGGATGATGAAAAGTACTATCATTAATCAGTTCAATTTGCACCACACCATTTTTATGATCATATGAATAAATATTCTGATTAGCAGGTAATTCACCTATATCATTACCATCTGTCAAATATATAGCTGTCGGACTTTTGAAATTAGGTTTAAAACTAGAATCATCAATTGCTCCAAAGGTAACTCTTTCCGCAGTAGAAAATAAAGTAGCTACCATTACGAATGTGTCAGTAACTCCGATGGGTGCTGGAGATATTTTTAATGGTTTTAATAATTTAGCATCAATATCCAAACATTGCGGATCAATAATATCTTTGAATGGTTGGGTGTTTGGTGAACTATTATCAGATCCTTGATATTTTAATATTCCAGTGGCATTATAATTAATAGATGAGTTAACATTAAAGGTGAATGGATTAGTATCCATACATTCTTTGGCAAGTGTTGCTCGAATGAAATAATTTCCAATTGGTTTATTTGCTTCAACTATTACTGAATAACGTTGTGCAATATTGATCGGAAGGAGATTTACGGTAACAGGTTGAATTGGTGTTCCTTCTACTTCAATGATTTTAAGTGGATGATTATCAATAGAGAATATGAAGAAAGCATTTGAACTAGTGTTGATTAGTCGAAATCTATATTTCTTTCCTTTTTGTACACTATAAGTAGCCAATGGTGCATTTGGTATGCATATTGATCCTTGAGGTGCCGCCGTACAATTGTATCTTCCCAAACCAGAAATTAATGCTGCATCTGGAACTGGGGTTTGTCCTTTATATCCTGGTTCTTTTTTCACTGCCAACAATATATCGGTAGTTAAATGATGCCAATCATTCATGGTTACCACATATTCAAAATCATATTCATTTTTATAAGGATCTTTTGGATCATGAATTATGAGTGGTCCAAATAATCCATCTACATATTGAACAACATAATGAGCATGATACCAATATGTTCCAGATTGGTTTACGGTAAAATTGTAGACAAAAGAAGATCCGTCAGGTATTGGGCATTGACTAATTCCGGTTGCTCCATCATACCAAGTTGTTCCATTTTGAAATAATCCATGCCAATGAATTCCTGATGGTCTTCCTAAAGCATTGATAACCTTCACAATAATTCTATCCCCTTCATTAGCTCTCAATATTGGAGCTATTAAAAAAGATATTTATTTTTTTGAATTATTGTTTAAGAATCAACAAAAAATTAATAAATAACATGAAATATTAAAATACTAACCAGGGAATTGACCATTAACTGTCAAGACAGTTCGACTAAAGCCATCAGGCGATAAAGTTGTCTTTACCAACCGAAGTTCATAGTAGCGAGTAACAGGTTGTGGAGTAATCGGTAATGGCACAAAAGGTTTGAATAAATTATTAATTTGACCATTACCTTCTGTAGGAAGAAGAGAAGTTTTAGAGGTAGTAGATGATGTTTTAGCATTAGTCGTGGATTTGGTAGTCGTGGATTTGGTAGTCGTGGATTTGGTAGTCGTGGATTTGGTAGTCGTGGGTTTAGTAGTCGTGGGTTTAGTAGTCGTGGGTTTAGTATTCGTGGGTTTGGTAGTCATGAATTTGATAGTCGTTACATATTTTGTTTTGATGATCGTTGTGGGTTTGCTAGTGACTTTCTTAGTTTTGATTTTGAATTTGGTTTTGATTATATGTTTATTCTTTGGGGATTTGTGAATGTGGTTACGTTTATCTAAAGAATCTGATGACGGCTTTTCCGTGTCCAGCAGCGGAGAAGCAATAACGAATAACCCAAACAAAAATACAAATATAAATATTAATATTCCTTTAATATTCAACTTCATTTTAATCAAATGATGAATTTAGAAAATTAAGACTCATAAAGGGAAAGAAATGAAATGAAATGAAATGATATTCGTAGAGATATAGAATATATAGAAACAAACTAGCTCGTACGACTCTATTTGTCTTTATTAAATGAAGAATGAATTACGAAATTTCAAATATGCATATAAATTCTAATTAGAACTTTCAGTTATCGAAATAGGTATTAAATAAATTTTAATGTATACCAATAAATTTTTCATAATATTTATAGTAATTGCGATTAATTAATTTAAATATGTTTATGTGTGTGAGATCAAAACATTACGATAATTTATTTATTGAATTGATTATTTAGTTAATATAAACAATTATATGAGAAATGGATTATTTAACATTAATTAATAAAGAAAAAATTCAAATTAAACACATGAAATATGTATGTGTTGTATCATGTATACATGATAAAATTTTACGCATATTATCTGAAACTTGAAAACAATAATAAAGTTTTTTGGATAAAGAAAAGATGTAAATTTTAAATAATTATTTATAAAACTAAACTTAAATTATCTAACACATAACGTTAGAAATTTCAACACCTTTTTTATGACTATATTTAAAAAGCCTTTTGACAATCTGAAGATTTTTTATTATTACTAATAATAGAAAACAAATAAAATAACGAATCAGAAAATAAATATTAAAAGAAATAAGGAAGGTAAGTAGAAATAAATAGTATTCCAAATGATATATAGGCCCGAACAGGCCAGAAAAAGTATAAATAGAGAAAATAAAAATAGCAAAATTTGGAGAAAAACAAAATTTTTCAAAAAAGAAATCAGTTACCTATTTATATATATTCCTTCTTGAATATATTTCTATAAAGTGATATGAATGGCGTTACGTTACTTTGCATCCAAGACATTAACATTTAATTCTTTTTTTTTTTTTAAGTACACCAGGAAAGTCATTATTAATTAATATTCATAATACATACATATTATCTAAATATTTATAATAGTAGTTATTAGTAAGTAACTAATCATCAAACTATACGTTTTCATAAAACTTCTATCTTCTTTCTTTTTTTAACTTACCTTCCCTAACAATATTTTTTTTTTATCATAACAAAGATAAATTCTATCTTGTTTAAACAGATAAATGTGCCTGTTCACAGACCTCCCGACTTTACCAAATTTTTGTAATTCTCATTTGTAAAATTATAATGGTCATTACAATTTGGTTTTTTAATATTAATTCGTGAGAACTGCAAAAAATATATGATAAAAATATATATACACATATCACCAAAATTATATACATATGAGCTTTTGCAGTTAACTCATGGATCACAAATTAAAAATGTTGAGGATTTTATGGATTTTCTTCTGGAAATTTTTTGTTCAAATTGACAAAGGGGAATCAGATCAGATTCTTAGATATGCAAAACGTAAAACTTTTGTAAAAACATTGATAGAGTCTGAATTTGTTATTGATAATTCTTGCATTTTGTGTTTGATACTAATAAGGCTTGGTAATAGTTTTCTTATCCTAATCTTACCCTAAAAGTTTTTGGAAACTGAAAATATATTGTTTAAACTTGAGAATTTTCTGTTTGCCATTTATAAGTAATTTTCTAGATGGATGATTAAAAAAATATATATATACGAGATCGATGTCTTTAAACTTTGACATTTGTGATTTTGAAAAGTTCCTGAAATAAAGTGGATTATCATTATCATTATTACTCTACATTAATTCCTCTTCAATAAAAACGGAAATTGATTTTTTGTAGAGTAATAATTTCATTTCACTGGTATTGAAAGATGGTTTCCAGTTCCCACAAGTCCTAAATTACGTAATCATTCTGCAATTATGTAATGATATTTTTAAAATTTGTCAAAAATTGGAGATTCTAAATATATAATGATTCTTGAACAAAATTCAAAAAATCTGCGACTTGTAAACAAATTACAATATATTATTTGAATTCATGATTTTCATTAATTGCGTTATATTAGTTATGGAAAATGTCAAATGAAATCATTTTCACATTGTAACATTACATTAAACCCGCAGTTAATCATAAACAATTTAAAAATTGATACGTAATGCATCTAAGATCCACATTTTTTAAGATCTTTTCAAAAGTAGAAAGTATTATTCATTTTAGTACAGAAATATATATATATATACGGCTAGCTTTTTATATTCTCCCTTTTGGTTGGTAAATTAAAAAAGTTGATTAATAAGAAACACAATAATATATTTGTTATAATAAACGTTGTGTTTATAACTGTAATTACTTTATTATTATTATTATAATAATAAATGATATTTCATATTCATATTCTTTATTTTGTGAACTTTGTTTTTTTCTATTTCGATTTTTTGTGTCTAATACTCTGAGATTTTAGATAACTTAATCAAGTTAGCTGTTCTTCTGTTGGAACAATATTTACTAATGATGTTATTATTGCTAGTTCTTCTTCTGTTGTTTGGTGTTTTGGTATGTTTTGGTTGAGATTCAGATATTTGACATCTTTTTTAATAAGTTTTCTTCATTTTTCAGATTGTTTTTGCCTTTTTTAATTTGTAATTTTATTAATTATTACCTGTTTGCCTACCTACCAGTTGTATCAATAGGTTCTAATTCAAGAATTTCTTGATGAAATATTTTTTTATTAGACGTTGTTTGCTAGTTTCATAACGATCATATATTCCTTTTGAATTTAATTCAGGAATAATTCTTGATTACCAATGTGAAAAGTTTCAACTAACTTGTTAATTAAATCCCAAAGTACTTCATGGTGACTATTAATAGCTCGATCTGTTTTTGATGTTACAATATTTCTAATATTCACTTCACTGAGAAGTAGATCCATCCTTTCTTTTCACTTTGAGCTGATTTTAATTTGTTGCTTCAAATTATCATCATTAATAACATTTCCAGTAACATTCTATTTTTATAAATTTAACATCAAAGGTCTCTAAAGCCTTGACAAAAGCAAGATAATGTTCATCTCTGGTCAAATTAACTTAATCCAACATAATTTAATAAAATTGTATTTTGCAAGGATTGATAGGGAATGTACAATAGAACGTGTATAATTCAATTTTCCTGCTACTAGAAATAGAGATGTGAAAGAATAAAGACATTGAATTTGGACTTCTGCATTTTTGGTACGTATTCCTGCTTTATGGACTTTCACAAACTTGCCCATTGTTATTTCATTTTCAGAACTCAAAATATTTGCAATACTTTTTTTTCTTGATAAATTTGGATTGTAGCTACCTAAATTAAATCAAGAATCTACATATGGTCAAGTTTGTCTAGCTAAATTGTAAATCCCATAACTCGAGAAAAAATTGTAAGTAAATAAATTGTCCAATCTCTCCTTGAAACTACAAGTATTGCACCATACCATTGACCATACAATGATTTTATTTGAGTTTTTTTTTATCGAGATACTTAAGAACACATCAGAAAATTGATTCATCACGAAAAATATCAATGTCTTTTTCATTATTAATTCCAAGATCTTTATAATATTTTCACAGGTTACATAATTTGTTGTATTGCAGTAGCTAACTTTATTAGAAAGATAAAACAATCAACAAGATCAAATATTTGGAATGTATGTGTTATAGTAATATAGATTTCAAAGAAATCTATGATGCAACAAGTACAAGTTCGCATTTTATCTTAGAGTAATTTTTTCAATTTCAGTTACCAATTGATATTTCAAGTATTCACAATAAAACGATTTTTATTTAATTCGTGATTCACTAGAAACGGAAAGAGTTTATAATGGATTTCGGGGCAAATTTCCTAATTATATATAAAAATTAATTCTTTAATTGTTAAAAAAAAGGCATATCTCTTTATTTTATTGATGTTGTCATTTAAAACTAAAAATATGTTTAAATCAGAACCTTTGCTTTTTATGATGTTAATGGAGGAAGGGACTTTTATAAGATAGTTCTATAGTTCTTGTGATATTCTTATTCCGGAACGAGATTATGTTTCTTATATGTATATCTCTTTCCGTTTATCGCGAATCACGAATTAAATAACCATTGTTTTGACATGTGATCGTTATCTAATAATCATTATCAAAAAAATCGTATAGACATCATTTTCAGAAGACCGTTTGATATTTTTGAATTTTAATGCATCAGAACGGAACTTTGGTATCACTTTAATGTCCAATATAATGAATGTCCTTCGCTACGTTCCGGACAATAATCTAGTTTCTGAAAAAGTTTTAAGAGTCGCTCAATATTATTTATTCTGAAAATTTTGAAATATTTTTCACGTAGAAACAAATAAAAAAAAAATAATAATAATTTAAACATTTCAGAACACACTTGTCATACTTGAAGAAATGATGTATCACTTTAAGTACAATGACATTAAATTACATATAAAAAATCATGAATTCAATACACTTTCGGTAAATTATTTCACTGTAAATCATGGCAAGTAAAACGTAAAATTATTAGAGGAATATCATAAATTTTCTCAAAATGATGACAGTTCCTCAAAGTGATTACATTCTACTAATAGTTGTAAAAAGAAGCTAGAAATCTCTTGCTGTAAATAATTTGTCTAACAATTGAATAATAACACTTAGTAAATAATAAAACTCTTTTAAATGACTATTGTTGATTGTTATTGGTTTATTTATTTGGTTACTTTTATTTAACATTTATGTTTTGTCTTTGTTTTACCACTTAGTTTTATTGATTTGTCATCTTTTACTCAACACACTTTTTCCCTTATCTAACCAGATACCCGTTCCAAATTCAAAAAGGAAATACTAACAATAAAATTTTGCTAATCCTATTGTTAATATTTCTTTTTTTTTTTGAATTTGGGCGGCAGTACTAGTAATAAGTTCACTTGTACAAATCCTGTACTACTAGAATTTTTACTGGTTATATCATAATTTCGGCCAAAAATTACAAATATTACAGCGTTAATAATTCTGAAACTTTTACAGTAAATCTGTTTTATTTTTAGCTTCCTGTTATTAATAAAAAAATATTTTGTGTAAAAGGGATTGATAATTATTTTTTAAATTATCATTATAATCGTAACACTTGCGAATTTGGTGTCCAGATGCTAGAAAGATAATTTCAAATATTTAAATAAAAAAATCAATATTTAATAAAATTATAACATTAGATATTAATATAATATTTGTTTCCGGTTTCTTGAAATTGAGAGAAACTTTTCCTTTTTAAATCAAATTTTTTTCTTAATGTTGAAAACATATTAACTTTACTATTCAGCAATTTATCTCATGTTAAATATTTTATGATAATAATAGTGATCAACTGTTGTTTGATTATTTATTAGAAAAATTCATATTTATGCTTCCATCTCTTTGAAAGTATTAAAAAAAAAGGTTCTTTCAAGTTATATATATTTGTCTAGTTAATAATTATAATAATAATATCTTTCAAATGAAGTTCAATGAAGTTCTAATTTGAATTTGTTTATATGTAATTTATATTTGTGTAACAAAATTATTTATAATTCTGGTTGAAATCAAAGAACAAAGAATTATTTACGATATTATGCAATAAAAAATCAAAGAACTAAGAATTATTTATGATGAATGATTATATTATGCAATAAATAGAAATCTGATGTTATTCTAAATTAGAGAATAAAGTCATAATGAAGAATCTATTTTGATGATACATGCTAAGAAAGAAAGAAAGAAATAAATAAATAAATTAAATAAAATAAAATAAACAAATAATAATATAATAATCTTTAATATCGCTTTCATATTAAGAAAACCATCGAGATCATCACGATTAATATACTCCATCCACCAATCGCATTTAGTCTATTGCTGGAAGAAAAAGGATTGTCGGGAGTTGTGTTTGCTGATGGTATTGACGGTTGAGTGTAAGTAGGTTCGTCTGTGGTTTTCATTACATTTGGAGTCTCGGATGTGGACTCTTCAGTTGTAGAGGTATCAGATTCAGTAGTTTCAGTGGTTTCAGTGGTTTCAGTAGTTTCAGAAGTTGTTGATTCATCAGTGGTAGTAGTGGATGAGGTAGTGGTTGTAGAATTTACGCTTTTGGTTGGTGTTGAACCTCCTAATAAAATTATAAATTATTTATGATTTTAATCAATTCGATGTTTTTTTTTTTTTTGGTATTTTTTGATATTTTTTGATTATTTTTGATAGTTTACCAGTAATTGTCCATGGATCTCCCGGATCATAACCTGTTGTAGTTGCAGATGAACTTTCTAGAATCGTAAACCTTGTGGTCCAACTATAACCAAAAGAAGGGTTCTTTGAATCGGAAAACATTAAAAAATATATTTTCCCTGAAGGATACCCTAAAGTTTTAGGCGATGGCACGGTATAGGAATACGATGTTGCGCTTTTTGAAAGTTTGTCGACAATGGTGACCAGAGGGATTTGTTGGAGGTCTGGCCCCGTCATAAGTTGAATCGTTATCCCAGTAAAATTAGATGTTAGCGGCTTATCCTCATTTTCGGACCATTTGATTGTGACCTTTTATGAAAAGTAAAATTAGCTGATATGTTTTATTTTAAGAAAAGTAAGATAATTCAATGCAATGTAATAATCTTTAGTTTTACAGAAGAATTAAATAAATATTTACTTTTTGACCTTTAGTCCATACAGAAGAACCATATGGGTCTGTAGGTGATGGAAAGGCAAAAGATATTGTAATTGCCAAGCAAAGGACCAATAAACATTTCAATAATATTTCTGTCATTTTGAAAATTATTGACTCTTAAAATTGTAATCAACTTTTTCTTAACAGTTTCTTTTCAAAAAAAAATGAAAGATTATTTTTTGAAATTTTTTATTGCAGGAAATTAAAACTGTTTTGGTCCATATAAAAGGAAACATTTAATATAACGATACTTTTATAACCAAAAAAAAAAAATGACTATCAACACAAATTTAGATTTTTTTTCTACAATTAATTATAATATAATTATTATAAAATATCTTAATTTAATAATTTTCCTTTTGTAGATGGATAATAATAAATTAAAAAGAGAACAAAATATGCATTAATACATTTCGTGCATATGTTTATATTTCATCGTCATTAAACCATTGATTAAAAATTATGCATTAGAAAAGAGCGAGTTTTAAGTTTTATTGCCAATTCACATTTTGGCAATGAAAATATTTTTTATAACTATTAATGAGGAATTTAAAATCCGTAACCGCAGTTAACGTAAAACAGTAAAATAAATATTTTGCAAACAGATAATAATTAAAAATTTAATATTGTAGAGAACATTAAAGAAATATGTAAGATAATATCGGGTATTTGGATTACATCCATTATTATTTCATTTAACCTTGGACTCCAGATAGTATATAATTTTTGAAAAAAAAAAACAATAGATTATCAAATGTAAAGAATTTATGTAAAGAAACAATGATGGTAATGACATTATGATTACTCTTAATGTACATTCTCCTTTCCGCTTATTTTTTAACATTTTCAACCATTTAAAGTTCTAATTTTACTTTAAAACTGTCTATGCGAGAAACAAATTTACTTTGTTGACTACGGTATAATTTAAATTTGTATTTATTTTTAGATTCTTTATATGCTAATAATAAAAATAATAATAATAATTGAGAAACTCTTTAGACAAAGATATTCTAATATTTCCATTAAGAAGAAAAAATAACATGAATTTTAGAGCAAACAATTACTATATTTGTATCTATATATGTATCTATATATGGTTAACTATAATGATCCAGAAATTCTCTTCAATTATCACATGATAAATTTCGATTGGCGTTAACTGTTAACCGACACCTTTAAATCTCGATTCTCACGTGTAGTATCTCAAAACAAATAAATATGTCAAACAATTAATTAATAAATTCATTTTTATACATTTGGAAATCGCTCTTTTAATTTCCAAGTTAAAAATGTGGAGGTTGATTAATTATAATGAGATAAAATGAATATATTCTATAATATACAGTATTTGTATTCTAGCTAGTTTAATTTTTGGAATTCATAAAGTGAGATGTAATAATAATAATAGATAGAAAATTCTTTGATCTTAAGTTATTAATAGTTGTTTCATCTTTTTTCAATCTACGCGTGTCAGACAAGTGTATCACGTTGAGAACCAATCAATTAATGCTAATATTTTCAGAACAAAAAAAAATCGTTAAAAGAATGAAATATTTATATTGGTGTAAGGGAAATATACAAATATATATATATCTAATAGTAATAGTTATCCTACAAATTCTTCAATTCTTAAAGCTATTTTTATTATTTTTATTTTAGAATGGATAATAAATAATGATTGGTTTAATAAATATAAAAGATAATTCAAGTTTATACTGGATTTCTAAATTTCTAAACTTAATTTTATTCGTAAATTAATTGGTGATTCTCTTGTAATAAAACTTGTTATTCATTCTATATATCACGTGTACCTTTATTATCACTAGTGTTGGAATTAACGTAGTAAAATTATACTCATAAACAAGTATGCAAAGTGTAGAAAAGAAAAATTTTCATGACTGAATTATGATCAATATGAACAATAATTGTGTAATATATTGTAATGTTTTATTGTTTTATTGTGCAACACATTATATAATTATTGTGTTCTAAAAAAATCAATAGAATGAAAAGGAGAGATTATTTGTTTATTATTAATTAATGATAATATTCAAATAATCAATCAATCATTGCAAAGTTTATAAATATAAGAGATCAAAGTCTTATGAATGTAAAAAATTTAAGCATAAAAAAAAAAAAAAAAGTTACCACATTTATACATACGCTTATACTTTTTTTTTTTTTTTAGTTACTTTGAATTTATATTACTTTTATATTTTCACTTTATACTTTTATATGTTATTATGAATTAAATGTAGAAAAAAGAAATCCAATTCCACGATTCTAATTTTGCTCATTCAAATTAATATAAATAAATAAATGGTAGAATTTAGAGGAATTTAGAGATGGAAGAATGTAATATAAAGATGGTTAGTTATTATTTTTTTACGTTTCTATTTTCAACAAATAATTTACCCGAGATCTTTTTAATTTGTCTTCCATTTGATTGGTGCTTTGAAAAAATATAAATTAGATTATTTGTTTCTGTTTTTTATTACAAACACAGTATATCAAATTTTATTATATTTATTAAACTTTTTTTTTTTCTAAAATAATAGTTTACGGTAATTGTGTATTTACTACTAAACTTGATTAAGCTCTGTGTTATATTAATTTTACTTTAATATAACTCAACTGTTTTATTTATTATCACAGAAAAAATATATATATATATATAAACAGTTAAAAAATTAAAACAATCACCCATCAACAATTTTGATTTTTTTTATTTACTTTATATGCTTAGAATATATATATTTATTTATTCCCAATATAAAAAATTGCTATTTTGGATTTATTTTATAGAAATTTTTATATTATATATAATAATAATATTTTATTTTTATTTCATTTCATTTCTTTCTTTTTCGTTTTTTTTTTCTTTTTTCTTCACAGGCCAAAAAAATCCTTATATCTACGGTTTTACGATAGTTGTAAAAATATAAACATTTACCTTTCTCAATCATTATTATTTAAAGTATTACTGATTACGTACGTTACTCCAAATTATTAGAAACGAAAAATTATATATTATTTTTATTTCTTCTTAATACATTTTTCACTTTAGTTAATCTACCGCGGTTTAAAGGAGATTTGTCACTATTTCCACTCTTTTCTTTCTTTAAAAGTATATATATAAATAAATATATATATAAATATAAATAATAAATATATATATATAAATAAATATATATATAAATATAAATAATAAATATATATATATATATAAATATATATATTTTAAATCTTTTAGTGAACTTTTCTTCAAACTCTTTAGATAAAAAATTAAAAAATTTCCCTTAAAATATGAGTAATCAAACTGAAATTGAAAGTGAAACTGAGAGTGAATCCATTTTGAGAGATTCTTCGGAAAATATAATACCTGAAGATAAAATTATTTTAAATGTGGGTGGTATCAAGGTAATCTATTTTTTTTTTTTTTTTTTAATTTATTATTTGCTTAATTTTATGAATTAATTAATTTAATTTATTATTTATTTTAATTTATTAATTTATTATTTATTTTATTTTATTAATTTATTATTTATTTTATTTTATTAGTATGAAACCTATCGCTCAACATTAACAGCTCATTCAGAAACTCTTCTCGGTACAATGTTTCATCCTAGAAATCAAGCAATGTTACATCCAACTAATGGTAATGAATATTTTATTGATCGTAATGGTTATGCATTTCATTTCGTGATGGAATATTATCGAACTGGTACAGTTGTTTGGAGACCTGAATTTGAATCATCAAGTGATCATATCCCTTCACCTCAAAGCTCTTCAACTCCATGTATAACTTCCTCTTCACCTCCCACTTCTTCTCATACTGAAATAAATAATGCTACTGTTCCCACCAGAGCTGCTGCTGCGCTTGTAGCTTCTACTTCTATTCCTCCTTATTATACCGGATTTTCAAATTCATCATCATCAAATTTAAAACCAACTAATACGAAGAAACAAAATTGTAAATATCCGCATGTTCCTTATATATCTCTACCTGAACTTGAAAAAGAATTTGAATATTTTCAAATTCCTTTCACATCTAGAGCATCTATCGCTCATAAAGCTGCTGGTGAATTACTTGATTCATTCGCTTCTGCAATTGAAGAACTTTTATGCGCATCAATTGCAAAATTAATGGATCGTATATCAATAACATTTTATCGAGATGGCTCTCCATTAGAATGTATTATATCTTCACAAGGAAGTAAATTAAGAGAATTTAGTATAAATGGTTATTGCATAATCAATCATTTTTATGAAGATATTAAAAAATATTTAGAGACAATTTTTCCCAATGTGAAATTTAAATTAGAGTTTGGTAACAATTATAAAAGTTTAACCATATCCATGAGTCATTTATTTACCAGAAATACAATTAAGATACATTCAAAGATTGGCAAACTTTTAGATTAATCATAAATAGTTTTTTTTTTATTTATTTATTATTTTATTTATTGAAAATTATTGAATGGGTTCGAAATCTTTTTTATGCATAAAAAGAATTTTTTTTTTTTATTTCTTAAAGATTATTTCTTGAAATTTAATTTTTAATTTTATAATGTTTTACATTTTTTTTTTTTTTAAAAAAAAAAAAACAATAATACATTTTCAGTAACTAACTGACAAAATTTTTGTCATTTTATTAAAATTTAATCATTAAACTTAATCTCTTTTAGTTTAGAAACTTTTGAATTCCCTTTAGTTATTGTTTCTTAAAGTATGTTACACAAACAAAACTGCGCCACAAAGGTTTAATCGGAGTGTTTATTTACAACGAAATCCAAATAAACAATAAAAACTGAGTCAAGTCCTTGTTTCAAAAATAATTTCTTTCACATAAGCATTTTAGTTGATAATTTAGCTATATCGTCCATATTACCGGAATAACAAATCATGCTTTCCTTAAACAATATTTTTAACCAAGTTTCTTGGATGATTTACATTAGAACGCATATATATCCGGAAATAATATATTCTCGGATGTTAAAGTTGGGTTCGGAATTATTTTTGATCATTATGCAAGCGACAATTTTTAAGGGCAGGGCATTGCAAAATCGGCATTTTATCTTTAAACTTTACCAGGTGCATATTTTTTTACATTGGCTAAAAAAGGTAAAAATCCTAAGCAATTATTGGTTAAATTTCATCATGTATACTTACGTAATCTCAGAAAAAGATTGATTTTTATAAAGAGGTTTCGCACTGAAGGAGATAATGAAACAATGGGTGGCGCAGTTTATGCTAATTAAAATTGAACTTGTAATTATTTATGTAACTTTGAAAAAAACATATATATATATATATATACAACTCTTTTAATTCATTTCTTGAACCGATCCAACAATATGGTTAGATGATGATTTTAAAACCATAGAATCATTCTTTGAGAAATTACTTGCATTCAATTAGATTCTTCCCAATAATTCTATTATATGAAATTCACCAGCAGTATTACAGACAACATTAACGACACCAATATTAAAGAATAAGAAAGAAAAGAAAAGAATTATCATATTGTAATAATCATATTAATTAACAAATTGAATATACAACGTTAATTTCTAATTGGATTAGTCATAAAAATGATACGGTACAATAGTTAAATTATCTTTAAAAATTACTTATTTTGTAATGTGATTTCTTTTCTAAATTTTTTTTTGAATTATAAAATACTGAGTTATTTATTATTTAAACAAATAAATTCAATATGAAAAATTTTACCTTGCAACAGAAAATTTAGGCTTTTTCAAGTGGTGGAAATTCGAGATATGTTTTTGAAAGAAAGAAAATTTACTTAATATGAAATAAATGTCAATTTTTGAATGTTCCATTATTTCTTTATTATATATTTACAAAAAAAAAAGTGATCATTAGATTAATACGAGCTATTATTAGATTATATGTTCCTGTTTAATAGGAAGACCCTTTCCTTGACAATTTTCAAAATCCAATAAAACGAAAGAAAGAAGGTTGAGATTTTCAGAAATACGTTCTTAAATTTTGAAGGCATATTCAAACATATCATCAACCGCGGTTGCTATATCAATTTCATTCTCTGCAATAAGACTTGTTCGATTAGGTTGAAAAATGTTTTTAAGGCATAGCAAAATTGGTATTAGAAAAATAACCAAAAAAATATTCGAAACTAATTTAAATAAAATAGTTATTTCAGTTATAAGAATATCTTAATTTAAGTCAATAAAATAAAATAAAATATTATTATTTATTTTTACTTCATGAAAGAGATTTTTATGAAACTAAATCATGTGAAATTTAAAATTCATGTGAAGAGTGATAATACAGATAATACACTTTTATTTTTTCATTATTATAATACCACATGGGTGGAATATCAGAATTCTAAATTATCGTGCTTTCGTACCATAAGAGCTTTTACCTGACAATTTCCTTTTTCCATAAAAAGTAAGGAAGAAAGTTGGGATTATCAACCTCATAAATACCTCTATTTTTCAAGAGGTATTTGCAAAAAGATTTCAGTTATGAAGATTAATTACTATTTTTTTTTTACTTCATATTTAAAACTTTTTTTATTTTATTCCGTATTATTCTTCTACGAAAGAATTTATTCAGGAGATAGACATTTAGATTTATTATGTACAACGTAAATAAAGTAGTATTTACTGAAAATCAGGTCGAGTACACATATTATGAAGCAGCTTATTAAATTTGCACAATAATACATAATACTGATAATATTTGTGATAATATTTGTGATAATAGTAAAAACAGTATAATATTTAAAAAAATATTTTAAATATCGAAAAAAAAAATATAGTTATTTTAATCTTGTTCTTTTCACAAGAAAAAAAAAACCTGAAATTTCTTAATACTTTTTATGTTATCACTTTTACTTGTTTTACCTTTACTTGTTGAATTCTTAATTATGGAAAATATCAACACAACCAAAGATTGTTCCTTTGAAAATTGGTACGATCAAGAATATTCTCTAGATCAATATTTTCCTTTCGTAAAATTAACAAATGAATTTTTGAATATACTTGAGATAAAAGGATTTCAAAATTTTACTCTTTTGGAACGTAATTTTATTCACAATAATCTTGAACAATTAGTAATAGATTTACAAGATTCTCTTCTTCATCCCGAATATAATAATTTCGATAATTCTGATAATTTTGGTAATTCGGATATGCCTGATATATCACAATTTATTTATGCTACGACTAATAATTTAGTTGATATTAAATCCTCACAATCTAAATGTTTACTTAGTTTTATTACGACTCAATTATTAGATTTTGAATATTCGTTATCTAAATATTGGGAATTTAGAAATGGTAATTATAACAACAGCAACAACAACAACAACAATAATAATGGATTTCAAGAATTTAGATCGTTTCCTTCGAGGACTTTGGAATGGTTAGAACGAATAGATCAAAAATCAATTTATAGATCTATACTGGAAATCGAGATAGCAATTATTTATAATTTAGGAGATCGATTTATCCTCATTGCGAATCTTCAATCACTATTAAGGAATGATTTGAATCCTTTTAAAAATCTTCATAAGTTTGAAAATAAGTTTGAAGGTGATGCCAATATTTGGTTAATAATGACTTATGTCACAGAAAAATTATTGAAGAAAATCAAGTTTCCAAAAAAATCCAACGATACGATTTTTAAAAATCAAGCAACAGATTTATTTATTCGAAATAATCTCATACATGAACTGGAAGAATTTTTAGAAATTTGTCAGAAATTTGTATTGAATGATTATTGGAATAATTATAACTATAATAATGATAACTATAATAATGACTATAATGATAACTATAATAATAATTATAATGACAACTATAATAATAACTATAATGATAACTATAATAATAACTATAATAATAATAATAATAATTATTATTATTATAATAGAAATTATAAAGAAAATGACTTTCTTGCTGAAGATCAAAAGACAAAACAAAATCCGGATTTATTTAAATTCTTTAATTGCTGTTTATTAATAATGATTTATTTATTTTTAACCATCTATATTATTTATGATTATGGGAAATTAATAATAATCATTGGAGGAATAACAATTATTTGTTCGCGTACTCGTTTCATTAATTATTTCAGTGCGAAATTTTCTAGAAAATTGAAATTCATTATTATTTTTTTTATTGTTTTTAAGATATTGTTAAGTTTCACTCTAAAATTCTTTATTAAAAAAAATGAAACTTTAGATTTAATTTAATTTAGAATTCATTTACATTTTTCATTTTATTTTTTTTTCTTTAGAACGCATTGACGCATTTAACATATTTAAAGCATTCAACAAATTCAACACTTTCGGACATTCAAAAGCATTCAATACATTCAACATATTGGGGAAAATATATAACCAAATTTTTGTAAAATTATTTGTATTTGTAAATATAGAATTCAAATTTAGTAAATTTAACATATTACACATTTAGTATTTTTGTAACGAAAATTTTCTTGTACTGATATTTAACTAATATTTATTGTCAGGTGTCACTTAGGAACACCACAAATTTGGTTCAAAAAGAATTTTTTTTTTTTCCCTTGTTTCCCCACAACGTGAAAGAGATATAATAATTTACTAATTTATCATTTTTCATTAATTCTAAATTTAAATAATATTTAACAACAATAATAATTGATAAATAATTAACAAATTCGTGTTACTCGGTCACGTAGATTTGACGCGTCTTATAAATAAACTATATATTTATAAATACAGAATCCCTTCCATTTATACCTTTTATATCGAGGATCCGAAAATTGTTTATGTTTAGGTGTGTCTGGAACTATACACCATTTAGAATCTGTAAGAATCTTCCTCCTCGAAATCCGTTTTAAATTTTTTTATCATCTCATTGAACACAAAAAAAAGTAACAAAACTATATATATATATATTGTGTGACTGTATATGCTATTCATGCTATTCATATTTATATCTATATTTTATAATATTCTAATAATATTTATGATATTTATAATCTTTATAATAATATTAATATTTTATAATATAATAATATTTTATAATTATAATATTTATAATATTTATAATAATATTTACATTTATATTTTATAATATTATAATACTTATAATACTATAATACTTATAATATTTATGATATTTATAATCCTTATAATAATATTTTATAATATTTATAATAATATTTTATAATATTTATAATAATAATATTTACGAATATCTTTCTATATAATTATTTAAATATATATCCTTAATAGGGATAGTGTATGTTATCTTGTACTATTATTCTAATTGTTCTCTTTTAAAGAAGAGAAGATGATTGTGATGCACGTGTGAGTTAATAATCAATGAACTCTTATTTAGGGAATAGGCTTTTGTTTTTTTTTCTCTACAAAATGTCAAAGTTATTGATGTTTATTTTGATATTATTGTGTTTATTGATGTTACTGATATTATTGATATTATTATTATTTATTGATGTTATTGATGTTATTATTATTGATGTTGTTGTGTTGTTGTGTTGTGCTATAAACATAATATTTACATATACTTTTAAGTTTATAAATTCTAAATATTAAAGAATTTTATTTTAAATTTAGAGATCCGAAATCTCCGAGATCACCGGCAAATAGTTATCCAATAAATAATTACCTAGTCGTTAGTCGTTAAAGTCATCTGATAATTCCCATGCATAACATAGAATAAAAAATAGTATAAAAAATAGAATGAAATAATAATATTTGTTGTTTAATACTTATTATTATTGTTTAATATTTATTTTTGTTCTTTTTTTTTAAAAAAAAAAAATTATCTAGGAATTGGAATAACCTTTATATAATATGTACAAAGAAATGTCTACGAAAATAAAAAGATGTGATATATATAATAATAATAATATAAAATTTTTTTTTTATGGTAAATACAAGAAAATTATAAATAAAATAAGTTGAACTGGAAATTAAATATTATTCGTTTTTTTCAATCTTTTTCCCGAACACTCTAATACAATTAAAACAAGTAGATTTAAATTCATCCAATTCAGATATTACTTTAACCATTTTATCATCATATTCTTTAAGTGTTTGACCTAAATATGATGATATATTTTCCCCTTGAGAATTTAATGTTTGTATAAAATGATTTGATGCCTAAAAATATATATTTTAAAACATAATTAAATATAATTTAGTAAAATATTAAAATAAAGTCTTCTCAGTTCGTCATAAAAAAAATTCTCACCATTTCACCAAATTTTCCTGTCGATCTTCCCATAGGTATTTTCCGAGATTCCTTATTTAACTTTGAGAATTTATTTGTATTTTTCATAATATTTTCTAATTCTGATGCTATACTTATTTTTACTCCATTCACTTTTAAACATTCTTGATCTATTATTATTATTTGGTTGTTATTTATATTTATTATATTTTTGTAGTTCTATTTATTTACGAATTAAAAAAAAAAAAGATTTACAAAGAAATACTTACGAATAATATTAATTTCTTTTAGTAATGGACCTTCATTTTCAAAACTGATATAATCTCCCACTTCAATTTCACAATATCCTCCGGGTTTGGTGACTCGAATCATATGATCAATAATGAACTTCCATTCAACTTCCGAATATTTCGGTGAAAGGATTCTCAAATGAACAAAATTAAATGATTCACTTCCATAAAATATTCCATTTAATATATCAATTCTTACAAAATTCGCGTTATAAGGTAACTGTGGTTTTTTCATTATGGGAAATGCTTGTATTCCGATAAATTGAGATTTAGGAAATTTTATAGCCATGTCACAAATCCAATAACCTGGTCCACAACTAAGAAAAAAAAAAAATTCGAAATTTAAATTAATATATAATGTCAAATTATTATTATTATTATTATTATTTATTTATTTAAATTGTTTTAATACTCACGCAACATCTAACACATAATTCAAATGCCCTATTAATAAATCTTCTTCAATTGGACTTGAAAACAAACTATTCCAAATATTTTCTAATAATACATGTTCTAATTCATATATATCTACATAATGTTCTTCTTTATTTTCAACTTTATCAAAATTATTATATATATTATAATTGTTATTAATATAATTGTTATTAATATAATTATTATTATTATAATTGTTATTATTATAATTGTTATTATTAATAAAATCATTAAAATTACAATCATTAAAATTACAATCATTAGGTTGATCTTTATTATTCTTATGTTTCTTGCTATTTCTTCGAATACTTTTATCTTTCGTTATTGGAGTTATTGGACTATCAAATATTATCGAATTTATTTTATCATCATTTTTATTGTTATTGTTGTCGTTGATATTATTATTGTTGATATTTGTGTTATTTTTATTATTGCCGTTATTATTACTAATTTTATGACTGTTCCTTGAATTAATAGAAGAAAGTTGACTATTATAAGTATTACTTCTACCATCTTTATTTAACATTCTCCTCTTTGATGATTGGGAATCCTTTGAATCCGCGGAATTAAAGGGAGGTTTAGATGGTCTTCTGGCAGATTGTTTAGAATTACATAGTCCCATCTTTTCTTTTTTATTTATTTATTTATTTTTTTTTTTTTTGCTTTAATTACTTTAATGTTTTATTTTTTTTTTGTTTATCTTATTTTATTTTTATAATTTAATTTAATATTCTAGTCTGAATGCTAATTAATAATAAATGCTTTGTGTGTGATGCAATAATAATAAAGATGAAAAATGTTATTAAATTCTTTCAAAATTCTTTTTAAAGTATTTTCTCCTAATTTAAATGAATGAAGTGTATATATAATAATAAGAATGATTTTTCTATGCACGATAAAATGATTCAAAGACTCGTTAAAATATTTAATATTTTTTTAAATATTTTAAATATTCTTTTATATTCCTAAAGATTTTTTAAATATATAAATATAAGATGTAATTAAAAAAAATAAAATAAAATAAAAAGGGAAGAGAAAAAAAAATAATTGTAATATAAAAAAAGTGGAGCTCTTATATTTAAAACAATTCACCGATTTTCATGGATTGTGTATAGTTTAAAATATTAATATATTAAAAATAATGGATATTGGGAAAACAGAAAAAACGTGTTATTTATACAGTTTTTAATTATATTAAGTTATATTTTTATTATAATAATAACTAAACTCATCCGTTATGTTGTGTAATTTATAATGTAATTATATATATAAATAATATATTAAATTTGTTGCATTCTTTTTCTTACCAGTTATAAGAAATTCTCCCCCTTGAAATAAATAAAATAAAATAAAATAAAATAAAAATTATAAATTTTAATTTACATAATAATTCCCTGAAAAGTAAAAACCCTGAAAAAAAATAAAAATATTTTTATCGACATTTGAGGAAATTGATGCAAGAACAAACATAAATAGAGAGATAGAGATAGAGAACGAGTTTCTAAAGGTATCACGAGATTAACAAGTTTGGTTAACAAATTCGGATTCAAAGATCTATATTCTATCTTTCTTAAATAGAATAAACATTATATATATATATATATTAAATGAAATATATTTATATGTATAAAAATATCTTATTAACAAATCTATATCAAGAGAAGAAATAAAACTGGAAATTCTAAATTATAATGCGCATTAATTATATAAATTATAAAAAATTTATTAATTCTGTTAATTACATTTCATTTATAATAGTGAGGTAATATGAATAATATCATTATTCAACAATGTCTGCATTAAGATGTCCGAAAATTTTAACATTGAATGGAGCCAAGAATAGATGAATGAACAACAACGTGTATTTGTGTGTGTATATGCGTTGTGTGCGTATTTGTATGCTGCGTGTGTGTATATTTTTGTGTGCGCGTATATTTTTGTGTATTTGTATTTTTTAATTGAGTATATTTAAATGTAAGTTTTACTATTTAGTTTTTCCATTTAGTTCTTCTATTTAAGCTTTTATATTTAGTATAAAAATTTTATTCTTTGAATAAAGTCATCTTATGAATATTCGATTATTACATTTATTTTGCATTGTTTATTAATTCTTTTTATCATTAATCAAAAATGTAATTAATTTTTTAAATTCTGAATTAATTATTTTATTCTTTATTAATATTTATCATTAATTATATTACTTATTTATTATTAATTATTTTTTTTGTTTATTTAATAAATTGAATATAATAAAAACTTTAATGAAATAATATTATTAAAAATCAAATTGAATAGAATAAAAAATTTAATGAAATAATATTATTAAAATCGGATTAAAAAAAAAACTTGTTAATCATTTTTAGTTTTATAAAGGTGAATACATGTGAAACATACGAAAAATGGATTATGAATGTATTATTATGTATGAATGTATATGAATGTACAGTATATGAATATTATGTTCATTTACATTTCTTTTTTTTTTAGAAAAAGGGGATCGGACAACAAGAGAAAATAATAATAATAATAATAATAATAATAAATAAATAAATAAATGATAGGGAATGACGAAATGACAAGAAGATGATCCATATTTGTTTAAAGACACACACTGTATTATTAAAAATTTATTGTAGAAATGAAGTTTTAATATGAATTAACTTTCAATTGGTGATAAATTAATACATTCTGTTATGAATATCCTTGACATCCTTGAATATCCTTCTTTCACTTTTCATTTAACGCACATCAATTTAAACAAATTTAAACGTACATCAATAACATTCAATTAACGCACGAGAGAAATGATTAACGCTAAAGATTAATGGAGTACAAAAAAAATATGAAAAGCAAAATATAAAAGTAAAATTTCAATGTATGAAATTCGTGAGGAGAGGAGCTGTTTACTGTATGTTGTTATTGTTGTTTGTGATTATTGTTATTTGATGTGGTTATTGTTGTTGATGTTATTGCTGTTGTACTTTGTACTTTTGGTGAAAAATTTTATTGAATTTATTTATTTAATATTCATCGTACACATCCAAAACATATTATTTTTGTATGTTGATATTGTCAATAAATAAATTCAAATCAAAATATTTAAAAGAAATCTTTGAAAAAATGCTCAACAAAATAAAATATTTAATTCAAATTAATTCAATTAATTCAAAATCCAATAATTAATCCAATAGGGTGAAATTTTCGATTATCAACGTACATACATATATACATTTACATAAATGAACCTTATATTTTTTTCAAACAAATTTAAGTTTTTTTTTTTTTTTTTTAATTTCATATTTAACCAATTAAATTTAAACATTGGCGGCAAAAATATATTTTGTTTCATTTAACTCGCTGAATTAACTGATGACACCCGGAAAATATTCCTATTTACGTTAATTTGAAATTTTTTTTATTGTAATTAAATGTAATTTACAATACAATAGATTAAAATTACCTATTTTATATTATAGTTAATTATAATTGATAATATCAATATAATATAATGAATTTAAATTGTTTGGAAAATTTTAATTTAAATAATTAACAAAATTCTATTAAAATTATTTACAAAAAAAAAAATAGTTAATTCAGTGTGAAATATTAACTGTTAATAAAAACCAAGACTTATACTATGACTATATAAATATTAAGCTTATAAGAATAAAAAAAATAAGAATAAGAATAATTTGTAAAGTATTTTTTTTTTTATTCCGAATTATCTGAATCACATTTTAATTGACACCGAGCAGAATCAAAACTTAAATTATAAGCAATCAAATTTATTTCCTGCATACAATCATACAAATCACCCGCCAATTTTTGTAAATTTGTTTAGTCTTTTAGTTCTTTTTTCCGTCCTTTTTTTCTGGTTTATATTTATATTTAGTTTATTATATTTAGTTTATTATATTTAATTTATTATATCTAGTTATTTATGTCTAATTATTTATTTTTATTAATTTATTAGTTTTTAATCTATACCCAGTTTTTTTAGTTTAACTTATTTTTAGTTTTAATTGTGTAATCACCTTTTAATCGTCTTTTGTAGTAAATTTCAAGTAAGTTATTGTTGTTGTTTATTGAAGTAAATAAATTGTCGTTATTATTTTTGTTTGTTTTCGCCAAGATAAAAATTTACTTCAACAACAGCAAAAAATCTTGGAGAAGAAAAGAATAATAATTATAAACAATTATAACAAAAATTGTAAATAAATAATACTGCAATTTTCTAAATCACTTTTTCAATGACGCAATTATAACGAACGAATAAATGGAAGAAGATAATTTTATACTACAACTAAACATAATTGGTTTACATATATTATCAGATTATTATTTATGGTTATTATTCTTTATGGATATGGTTATTATTTTTATGGTCATTATTATTATTATTATATCATTTATGGTTGTTATTATTATTATTTATTTATTTATTTATTTATTTATGGTTTTTTTATTTATTGACATGTTAAAAATGTAGGGTTATTTCTTTTTCCAATCATTTTCACATTATTTTACTGATTTTATGTATTTTTAGTTCACGATATTATTTTTCTTTATCAGTTCTTCGTGAATTTTTTATAAAAAATAAAATCTCGAAATAACAGCTGATAATATATCATACATTACATGTAACACGACATAAAAATTGCACTGGTCCATTCAAAGAAGATTCTTTATTTATAGTTTGCAGTTTGAGTATACCAAATTTTGGCTTTTTTTTTTTCGAAGTAATAATAAAAAAAAAAGCATTAAGAATTAGTGAATTATTTTCTTTCACGATGTCAGAAATGAAATATTGTATAAAACGATAGTATAACCAATTTGTATAAACGATTGTATAACATTGACATGTGTAAAACGAATATATTTCATTATGAAAAATTATTATTTTATTTTCAAATCAAACAATAAAAAAATAATTCTATAACAATAATAATAAAGAAATTATGTTGTAGATAATGTTATAGGTTAAAGAGGAGTTACCGGATCAGAGAAAGGTAATTTATCACCATAAAGTTTTTTAAATTTTCTCCAACGTCGAAATAATAAGAAGGCTATAATCAATAATACAATTATACTAGTAATTCCACCAATTAATGAACCCAACAATAATGCAGTATTTACACTTACAAATGTAGGTGTTTCGGATGCTGTTGAAGAAGGAGAAGAAGATGATGATGATGATATTGAAGAAGATATTGAAGATTGATAAGTTGCAGTAGGAGTTAATGAATTAAATTTTGTGATCCAATTGTAATCTGATATATCAAGAAGATAAAGATTGGATGATGGTCCAGATGATAATGTGGTATTTTGAGTTATATTTCCTAAAATAAAAATAAAAATAAAAATATTATTATTATTATAAATTATATTATAAATTATAAAATATTTAAATATAATAATTACCAAAAGCTATAATAATTATATTTTTAATTAAAGTAGCAGTATGATGAGCAAGTACGGGGGGAGGAATATTTTTTATTTTCGGAATCGTCCATTTAAAAGGTAATACTGAAGTATCAAGAACTGCTAAATCTGGAATTGCCGGTGTTGATAAAATTTCATCATTTTTACCACCATATACAATGATTCGACCATCCAAAGCTAAATAAAAAACAAATAAATATATAAATAAATAAAATGTATAATAAATAAATAAAATGTATAATAAATAAATAAAATGCATAATAAATAAATAATAAATAAATAAAAATAAATAAATAAATAAATAATATAAATATATAAATATTTTAGATATTAATCTTAACTTAAGAATAATAATTATTGAAATTCTTTTCTTACCTAATACTGCACTGTGGCCTACACGTACACCAGGAATAGTTCCAGTGGCAATCTATAGTTATTATAGTTATTATAATTATTATAGTTACTATTTTAATTATTATAATTTACACATCTCGTTATAGCAAGGGTTAGGGCGTAAAATTTGAAAATTTGTCACCCTGTTGAATACCCAATTTTTATAATTTTTAGCATGTGAAAACCATATTTGTCACCTATTATCCAATGCAAAAAAATAAATTCTTATTATTTATAAAATTTCTTACAATTAATTCCCAATAACCTTTAGTTGTATCATAAGTCCAAATCTATAATTAAAGAATAAAAATAAAAAAATAAAAATAAAAATGCTATTAGTGAGAAAATAAATAAATTTATGGTAAAGATAAAAAAAGGAAAGATAATTACTTGATCCATTTTTTTGTATGTAATTTTATCACCGTATACATTTACAGCTTCTCTTCCTCCAATATAAAGAATAATTCCATTGGATAATAAAGTAGTAGTAAAATCAGCTTGAGGAGGAGGAATATTAATACCAGAAGTTTCCACTAATAACCAATTTAATTTTAATGTATCTAAAATATTCATATCATTAAACCACATTATCTTATTCGTCGTTAATCCACCAAATATATAAGTATTTTCTATATCATTTTTATTATCTTGAACTATTTCAAGTCTTATTCTTCTTCCAGGTGAAATTCCTGTTAAAGAAGGTTTACTCCATTTTTGTGATGTAATATCAAATTTATATAATAATGTATCAAAAGTTAATTCTTTACTTTTAATATTTTGAGTTATCCCTCCAAATAAATATATTGTATTATTATTTATTTCTTTTAAACTATTATGCCAACATATTCTTTCCGGTATTTCGGCAGTGGATGTAAGATCAATCCATGGAATATTTTGATTATCATCTTCAATATTAAAAGAATTCGAAATATCCAAATAGAAAATATCACTTTGACAATTTTCTATATTATCAGAATCTTTGGCCCATCCTCCGAAGAAATATAATTTTGTACCAATTAATATAGAACTAGTAGCATATCGAGGTGACGGAGTAAATGATGAGGATGCTTCGATATGTGATATAAAATTTGGGAAAAAATTTATTATTATTATTATTATTATTATTATTATCCTAAATTTGTTGGATTTATTGGTGTTGTATTTGTTGTTAATTTTAAAATTGTAGTAATTGCAAAAATTGTGATTGTTAGATAACATTTTTGTAAATAACTTTATCTGCTATTTTCTGGTAAATTAAATTATAAACTTGTTTATAAATAATTATAAAAATGATAAAAAATGATTTAAAATAATATAAAAAATGAATAATAAATAATATAATATAAAGAAATTTTTAAATAATACAGAAATTATAAAACAATTATAGATAATATATATTCATAAAGAATATTAAATACAAAGAATATAAATAACAAAGAAAATTTAAAGAATAAATAGAATAAAAAATATATATAAAATTTAAAAGGGTAAAGTCTGAGAATGTTTGAGAATGCTCTTTTTACTTAAAAAATCATCGTTCACGTAAAAATTTTATTTCATTTTTATATTATTTACCATTATTTATTTAAATTCGCAAATTCCCTTTATGGAATCAAAAAGTTCAATTTGTAATACATTTCTAACATTTAAGACCAATGAAATTATTTTGCCTTTAATTAAATTTTCATATTTTCTCTCAAAAAAAGAATACAACTCTTTATTCCACGTGGAAAAAGAATTCCTTTTTTTATAATATTATATAATAATATACATATATAAATATGTTATACAAGATCGAATTCGAAAATATTTCTGGAAGATCACATGTTAGAAGATAATTCATCTTTTAATGTAAATTTTCAAATTAAAATGGTAAAAAGATGTTGATATTACAAAATTTCATTAATGGTGAATTTCACACTACCAGAGAAACAACCTACATAGAAGGTTATAATCCTTCTACTGGAAAGGTATATAAAATTTGAAGTAATTGAATAAAATTATTTGATAAGATTAATTGATATTAAATTTTTCAGGCTCATGCGAAAATACCAAATTCCACTCAAAAAGATGTTGATTTAGCAGTAGAAGCAGCTAAAAATGCGTTCCCTAAATGGTCAAAAACACCTAGAGTCAAACGTGCACAAATGTTGTATAAAATAGCTGATGCTCTTGAATTGAGACTTAAAGAATTTGCTTCAGCTGAAGTTCAAGATCAAGGAAAAACTATTACTTTTGCTACTAATGTTGATATCACTAGATCCGTATATAATTTTAGATTTTTTGCTGGTTATATTTTACATGAGGAAGAAAAAGCTAATGTTATGGAAGGAAAATGTTTCAATTATGTTCAAAAAGAACCCGCTGGTGTCGCTGCGTTAATTACTCCGGTATTTTATATATATTTATATTTTTAATATTATTTTTTATTTTTTTATATTTTTATTGTGATATTTTTTTTTAATTTTTTTTTCTTAATTACTTTTTTTAAATAGTGGAACTTGTAAATAAAAATACAAATTTACCTTTATTAGAATGATTCTAGATATTTTTATTAATAATTCTTATTATGATACAGACCTCTTTACATTTTAACATGGAAAATTGCACCGTGTATTGCAGGTAAATTATTATTTATTATTATTTATTATTATTAATTATTATTTATTATTTATATTATTATTACTTTGTTTTCATTTTTAGCTGGTTGTACTTGCGTTTGTAAACCAAGTGAATTAGCAAGTGTTACTGCAAATAGTGAGTAGATAATATTTATTTCAATATTTTTTTTTCTTTTGATAATTTATTTGATAAAAATATTTGGTAACAATAATTATGAATTCTATTATGTTTGATATTCTTTGTTATTACATATATATATATATAGTGTTTTGTTCTGTTTTAAAAGAAGCAAAATTACCTGATGGAGTTATTAATATTATTTTTGGTTATGGTTAGTAATTAACTTGATAAATAGATTTTTTAATATAATTAGTGATAATAAATCCACATATAAATATAGGAGCTACCACTGGTCATCAGCTTATTTCTCATCCTGATGTTCCACTTGTTTCTTTTACAGGAGGTATATTATTTCATATTTCAATTAATTATTATTTTTATATTTAATTATCAATTAACTTAATTAAATCAATGTTTATTTTAATTTTAACAAATAATAGGGACTGAAACTGGAAAAAAAGTTAATATCGCTGCAGCCCCTTTTTTCAAAAAAGTTTCATTGGAATTAGGTAAATTCTTATTTATTATTTATTTATTTATTTATTTATTTACTTATATTATTTATTTATTTATTTATTTTTTATAATAATATTTAAATATAATAAGGTGGTAAAAATGCCAATATTCTTTTTGAGGATTGTGATTTCGAAAAAGCTGTGGAAACAAGCATCCTTTCTTCTTTTAGTAATCAGGGAGAGGTAATTATCATTTCTTTTTATTAATACAAATTTGAAATTGAAATTAAATAATTGTTTAATCGATTGTTTGTTAGATCTGTTTATGTGGATCTCGTATATTTGTTCATTCATCAATTTATGACAACTTTCTTGAATCATTTGTTCATAAAGCGGAAAATTTGATTGTGGGTAATCCTAATGATCCTAATACTCAAATAGGTGCTTTAAATAGTAAACAACATATGGAAAAAGTATTGGGTTATATTGAATTGGCTAAATCAGAAGGTGGTGTAATTAAATGTGGAGGAAAAAGAAAAGAAATGACTGGAGATTATAGTGAGGGATATTTTGTTGAACCTACTGTTATTACAAAGTAATATATTATTTATTTCTCATTTATTATTTATTATATATTTATTATATTTTTTATTTTCTTATACATAGCTTCCACACATTTTTTACATATTTATTTTTTTAATAATAAATTAATTAATTAATTAATTAATTATTATTATTATTATTATTATTAGCATCCCGGTGTCTAGTAGAGTAGCTCATGAAGAAATCTTTGGACCTGTAAGCATTATTTGATATATAAATTATTATATCAATATTCTACTTATTTACACTTTATTTATGCTATTTTATTCATATAGGTTGTTACTGTTCATCCGTTCGAATCCGAAGATGAAGTTATTAAATATGCTAATGATAGTCAACATGGCTTATCTTGTTCTATTTGGACTCAAAATGGAAGTCGTCAACGTCGGGTAGCTGAAAGTATTCATGTTGGTACATGTTGGGTTAATTGTTGGCTTATAAGAGATTTAGCAATGCCTTTTGGTGGAATGAAGAAAAGTGGTAAGTGATTAATCCTTTTATTAAATCTTTGTTGTTTTTTTATTATAATTTATTATTTGTTATTATTTTTATTATTTTAGGTCTTGGAAGAGAAGGAGGAGAATACTCAATTTCATTTTTTACTAATCCTAAAACTATTTGTTTGGCTGATTAAACGAAAATATATGGATTTTTTTGTCATTTTAATGTTATCATGTTATCTTGGTGTTATTTTTAATGTTATTATATTTTGAATTTATATATAAATGATTGATTACAAGATGACATAATCAAAGATTGTTTATACGTTTGTGCTTATTCAGTATGAAAGAACTTGAATCACTTTTATGTGTTTCCACCTTGTTTAATATCCAAGTCTTTCAACTGGATGCAGTTGAGTATTAGAGATTTGAGATTTGAGCTTGGAAAGAAGGAGGAACAATAAAGCAATTGCAAATATTGTTACATACATTACATTGTAAAGTTCAATAACAGGAGATATAATATTATTATTATTAATTTTAACATAATAATAGTATAGGTACCTTCACTCTAGATGGATTGAATTGATCAACTATAATCAAACAAAGGCAATTAATTGTGTAATTGATGAAGAATAGTTATCTTAACTTCATCCTGATTCACGTAAAAATTAAATAATGTGCACTGGTCGAATGATCAAAAATCGCCTAAAATCTGCCGTCCGATCTTCAAATCGCCTAAAAATCGGCTGTCTGATTTGCAAATCGGCCATCCGATTTTTAGGCGATTTTTGAATGATTTTTGATAATAAAAAAGAAAAAATCGATCGTTTTTACTTTTTTTATTAGTAAAACATCAAAAACGTTATTAAGTAAAATTATAGCTGAGAACTAAATACATTTACTGAAAAAATTTTAGACCTAAATCTCACAAATCAAAGGAAAGAGGGACATCTAAATTTTGAATATCTGTTTATAATTTAAATGCTTGGCTTTCCTTAAATTTGTGAGCTTTAGATCTAAAATTTGATTAGTAGGTGTATATAGTTCTTAACTATAATTTTACTTAGTAACGTTTTTGCGATTTAGTTTTTTTTTTTAACCATCAGAGTCTTGTTAGACACTTTATTAAATAAAACCAAAGTTGAATTTACATGTTGCATTCTAACTACCTATTCTAAACTAAATTATTACTAATTTAATCTAGATGATGAGTTGACCCATTGACATCCACAAAGTGGGAATTGATGGTTGAAACTCCATCAGTTAATATAATTATAATAGTGTTTGTAAAAAAGAATGTTTCTGTGCATGGTTGGTAAGTTATATGAAGTTACTACGTGTTTGAGAGAGGAATTGTATAATTGTTTATATGATTTATGTTTATTATTTTTATTATTTTTTGTTTTGTTTCTATTTGGTTTTTTGGGGGCTCTGGTAGTTGTAATTCTTTTTTGTTTTCTTGTTATGTTTTGATTTTCTTCCTATTCTAGAATCTTTTGGATTTGGTGATGTCAGGTTTGTTCTAGTTTGGTTTGAATAAATGTTTATATGTTAGTGTTAATTGTTTTTGCTGATGTTTTAGACTTTGTAATTGATTTTATTTTCTTTATTAATGATTTAGATGTGTATCCTTTTATTGTATTGAGGAAACATAATTTAGCTGATTTGTCTAATGTGGTATTTGTTTCTATCAAAAAAGCCGGTTCTTGATCCAAGGTTCATTTTATCGAGTCAAGTGTCATGTGTTTAGTGTTCTTTTTTCCTTTTGCTTTTATTTGTTTTGCTGTCAATTGTATAGTTTCTTTAAGTATAGTGTTAATGGTATATCAGGAAATTTAATTAGGTGTAAATTTACGGAAATATCACATAATCTACGGAAATTTACGCCTAAAAAATTTAATTTTTTAACTTTAGCTGAAATTTAGGTGACAGGGAGCGATTTTCTACTAAAATATTTCTAAGATAGATCGAAAGCCCTGGTTTTTGACTACACGATGATTTATGTTTTATTACTATGGCATCGATATTCGTGAAGAAATTCACGTTTAAATTCAAACATCCGTGAAAATTTATGCCATAATTTTTCCATAAATTTTCGTAATTCTGCTATAAATTTTTGTGACGTAATAAAAAATTTCCGGCAGAATTACGAAAATTTATGGAAAAATTACAGTATAAATTTTCACAGACGTTTGAATTTAAACGTGAATTTCTCCACGAATATCGATGCCATAGTAATGAAACATATATCATCATGTAGTCAAAAATTAGATTTTTGATCTATCTTAGAAATATCTTAGTAGAAAATCACTCCCTGTCACCTAAATCTCAGCTGAAGTTAAAAAATTAAATTTTTTAGGCATAAATTTCACATAAATCATGTGATATTTCCATAAATTTATGCCTAATTAAATTTTCTGATGTATATGGTTTCTCTAATGCTGAGCATGTGAACACATGTATGTTTGTTTCTTTTTCTTGATTACAGAATGGATATCTATTTGTGATATAAATTTGTAGATGGTGTTGATGGAGTTTGTCTAGTGTTGGAAGTTCATTGTTTTGCAACCAGAGTTTAAATAACCATTGTCTAGTATCTTCAAATGAGTTGAGATTTTGGTATAACGCAGATGTATGATTTGTTTTTTGTGTAAGGTACCAGTTTATAGTATGTGATTTTCTCTCAGAGATTGAATTTGATGTATGATTTTGTATTCTTCATTTATAAAAAACTGTTGTACGATTAATTGCCTGAATGGCTTTTTTGATAGGTTCCTTTATGATTTTGTTCTTAAGTGTTGGAATAGCTAGGATGTTGATATATTTCCAATTGATTTTCAGTTTGTCAAAATTCAACCAGTTGTGTTCTGTTATCTTGACTAGATTATCTACTATGTTGTTATTTAAGTTAGTCAAGTAGGTATCCACTTTTGTAAGTTTGAATTTTAATTGAAGTTGATTTATTATTGTTTAATTATTTGTATAATTGAAAGGTAGTCTAATTGTGCAGGGTTTTTGATTAATCTCCTTGAAGGTAGTCATTAATTATACAGATTGTTTCTTTACTATCTGTGTTTATGGTTATTTCTATTTCTTATGGTACCACTGTCAGAGTTATCAGTATGGCCATTAGTTTAGCTTTAATAAAAGATGGATATGAGTTAGTGTCTGCAACAAAGTATTGTACTGGTAATATAACTGGATCTGTTATGAGCCACCCTATGTACATTTGACTTATAATATATTTGTTGTTAAATGAGTCATCTGTATAAAAGGTTATTTTAGCTAGATTTATTCTTGTTAGTTCAGATCAAATTTGTTTCAGTTTAAGGTTTGTTTCTGTTGTGGTGATAAAAACTTTATCAATAATATTATGTGATTCTTTTATTGTTTTGATCATTGATATATTGTTTCTTTCACTAGTTTGTAATGTACTGTTTTTTATTATAGAGTCTCTATATTGTAATTTGGATATTAATTCTGTTCTTGGATTTATTATTCGATATTGTTTTAACATTGGTTCATAATCTTGAGATTGTCTTTTGGTTAGTTGTACCGTTATATATTTCATTATTAAATTTGCCATATTTTTATAATTAATTAGACACTTTGTTTTTTTATCTGAGATGCTTTTGTCTTTCATATAATATCTTGAATAAGGTTTTAATGTGTGAGTTGTTTCTCTCCATTTAGATGTTCTGAATAATGAATAATATATCTTCGAGATTGTTGATCATGAGTTTTTTTTTATTGTTGCATTGGGTTTTAGCTATTTTTTCAAATATTATCTCATTTGTATAGTTTTTTAAAGCAATCCATCCTTTATCTTAGAGTTGTTCAGGTTGTATTTCTAATTGTATTAGGTTTGATATTATTTGTATTTGTTTCGAAGGTTTTGGATATATGAGAGATTGATTAAGAAATATGTTTTTATATATTTATACCATTTAGGTGATATTCCTTTACCATTTTTAATTTTTGTCTAAAGGTATTTCCAGTTCATTAGGTCATAGTTAAAGTTCAAAAGTTATTTGAGAAAAGCTATTTTATATTGTTATAGCTATTTTAATAGGTTAACGTATTTTTTAATATTATTGTCTCAAAATTGAAAGATGTGTACCTTTCCTCCTATGAGAGTGGTGATAATTTTTGATGAGATACTTGATGTGGACCATTCTATTTCATATTGTTTTGCTAACATTAATATGTCTAGTATTAAATTCTGATGTGAAATTATTTGTTCTTTCATGATATTTCCATTTAAAATTAAATTTGAAGTCCATAACTGATTTTGTACTGTTTGTAACCTGATTCTTGTTATGGCTTCCATTATTAACTGGTCATTAATTCTTGTGCTAAAGGTGTTGATATGTTGTTGTACATATCTATAGTATGTGTTATATAATTCATATCCTAATTTTGTAGTACATATACTGTTAATAACAGTTTGAGCAAATCCTACTTTGTACTTTAAAGCAGTGAAGTATTTAAAATTAATTTTATTCTTGAGCCCATCTGTAATCATTAAGTTTTACATTAGATATTCAATTTTGGAGAAAATCACATGATTAATAATGTAACGAGTTTCTTTGTCTGTTAATCACTTTCTTTAGATAATATTACAAATATCTGAAACTTTGTTTATAATTAGTTTAGCTTGATGTATTTTATTTTTGTTATGTTATATGTAAATTCCTAGAAATTAGATTGCTCCTGTTTTTTTCACATCTATAATTTTTTGTTTTTCAAATTCTATTGATACCTTTTATTCTTTTGATTTTGTCACATTAATTGTAAACAATTCTGACTTTGTATGATTTATGGTGTTACCATGGGTTTCCTCCACTTTCATAATTTCTTATTATTTTATTTTATTTTATTCTTATTTGTATTTATTTTAT